ATGCCGCGGAGCGGCTGGGCCCGTGAGCCATGGCCGCTGAGCCTGCGCGTCCGGAGCCTGTTGGCTCCGCAATGGGAGAGACCACGACAGTGAGAGGACCGCGTACGGCTAAAAAAAAAAAAAACATCTGGGCACTCAGATGCTTCCTCTTTCCAGTCTGCCATCCTTAGTATATTGGTTTCGTCCTTGACTCGTCACAAGATGCAATTCCAGCTATGCATCAGCATTCCAGGTGGCAAAAAGGGAGGGGAGGCATGTTAGCCACATATGCCCCTCTTCATCAAGAGAACACAAAGTTTACCCACTGTCCTCTGCCCAGCAGACATCTACTTAGATCTCATGGACTAGAAATGGGTCACACACGCCCCTCTGCCCACCTCCAACCTCATGGCTCCAGGGAGGCTGCACAAGGAGGAACAGGACTTTCATTTCTGCCTTAGACCCACTCTTATCAGAGCAAATCCCTCCTTTTATCCCCTCCCTTAAAAAAAAAAATCAAAAAAAAAAAAAACACAAGAATTTTGTAACCTCCATCCTGAAAGGCAATGGATAATAGATCATATAACTCATTTATAGCTGTAATTTCAAAATAACGCCCTAACTGTAATAGAGAAATAAGAGGAAAGTAATTTATAATACAATATTATACATCTCAATGCATAATTGACTCGGTATGACTCCACTAGAAGACAGAATGTCAGAGTTGGATGTTGCACCTATTTCAAAGGGATAGTTGAGAAGAAAAGAGAAAGATCAGAAGATATTCCATACAAGAAGTACAGGAAGATGAAAAGCAGAGGTTCAACTGTCCACTACAATAAAATCCAGTGCAAGTTTAAGTAGCAACAAACCAGACTTGCTTGAATATCATAAAAGAAAGAGGAAGGACAAACCTTAATCGTCCAGACAAATTACAGAGTGTTGCAGTGGAGATGATGAAGACTATGATATTCTCTCAAGTGAGTTGAGCCTTACTGCTAAGTGCAGCATCAAAAATAATTCTTTCTTTATGACTTGGGACATCAAATGGGGAGGTATCACGGAAAACCCACCTCCTATCAAACTTCATACCTCAAGATTGGTGCTTAGCCTTGAAGACCTACACAACTGTGTTTCAATAAGCACTGGAATAAAAGATATTCTAGGAAAAAATCATGATAAAACAGCCTGTAGAGTAAATCAACTATACCTCAAAAATAAAGAAATGAATAGATAAATAAACTCTCCTAATAACTCCAAAAAAAGAAAAAAAGAGGCTACAGAGAAGGTGTTTCGTACAATTCTGGCAAGAGGATCAAAATAAGGTTGAAAAACAATAGGCAACCCCCAAATAAATAAATATCATTATTCTCACAGCATAGATTTCTTATCATTATGTTAAACAAGCAAAAAATTTCAAATATGGGATGACAAACATGAAATCATTTTGAAAGTGACGATAATTTAAGTCCGATTCCTGTGTCGTGCATCTCCCCTTATTTAATAATATTTGATTTCTAAGTCTATTAACAGGGACTCAAATTCTCTCTGCCACATAATTACATGTGACAGTTACCAGGGCAGACTAATGCTGGGGTGTGGCACTGTCAACTCAAATAGAAGGAGTGATGCCCAACAGTGATGTAATTTTCTGTAATAGTGAACTGCTCCTGGTGAATTTCAAAACATAGCACAAATATAATAAAGCATAGCACAATCTTTCCTCAACCTATTCAATAGCTGCTCTCCTGGAAAATGTCACTGTTTGTTAAATGTTAACTGTTTGTTAAAGCTACAAAACAGATAATTTGTGTTTATATGTAAAATGGAATTAGACTCTTGGGCACAGAGGACACAGTTTTTCATCTATATGACGGATATGCAGGGGGACATCCTTGGTGGCCCAGTGGTTAAGAATCTGCCTGCCAATGCAGGGGACATGGGTTCGAGCCCTGGTCCGGGAAGATCCCACATGCCGCAGAGCACCTAAGCCCGTGTGCTACTAAGTCCATGCACCGCAACTACTGAGCCTGCGTGCCGTAACTACCGAAGCCCACACGCCTAGAGCCCATGCTCCACAACAAGAGAAGCCACTGCAATGAGAAGCCTGAACACTGCAATGAAGAGTAGCCCCTGCTCACTGCAACTAGAGAAAGCCCACACGCAACAATGAAGACCCGACACAGCCAAAAATCAATCAATCAATTAATTAATTAATTTTAAAAATTTAAAAAAAAAGAAGAATATGCCAGGCTGGTCTTTATGCCACAGAACTCTCTCACATTGCCGGGCATCTAGCAGTCTAGCTCCCATTCTCTGTCACACCCCCTTAACCATTCAGACATTTACATTCACACCCCAATACACACTTTCCTAAACATTCTCTGGTGTGGGCTAAACTTCCTGGAGAACCATTAGCTTAGGTGAAGCGTGGCCCACGTTGGGTTGTACACAATGGCCCTGGAGAACAAAATCAGGGTTCTGTAGGCAAGGAGGAAAGAGGACAGACACTGGGCAGCAAATAATGATATGTCTGTCACAGGGAGTGAGTGGAAGGGAGCTCAAGCAGGTCCCTTCTGAAACTGCTTATCTTGGAAGAGGAGAAGCTAGAGGAATAAGCATCCACAGGGAAGTCAGAAATGGTGAGGGGAGGACCTGAGGTGGGTGTGAAACCTCAATTCCACAAGCACCAGAGCCCTGCAGGGTGAGAAGCCCTCCTGCAGCACTCACTCCCAGCTCTCAGCTCCCAGTGGGAGCAGATGGTGTCTCCAGATATGAAGTGGGTTCCGAATGAGGGCGGTGGTGGCCAAGGAAGAGTTAGATGCCCCCATGGACCTTGCGCTGTCCAACAAACCCAGAAAAGGAACTTCTGCCCAGGGTAGCACTGCCGCACATGGCCTCCAGCTGTCAGGCCCCACCTACCAACCACTTGTAAGCAGACTAATCTGGAAAAGCAGAACTCTAGAAAATCTCAGATTGTTTCCCTTACTAGGCCTGTGGGATTTGACCAGGAAGCCACACAATTGCTGCTAGAATTTATCACACCTCCTAATACATACTGGACACATAGGAACAGCCCCTCTACATGGAGAAAAACCACTGGACATTTTAAAATATATTTTTAAGACAAAAGAGGGGCATATCTTGAGAAGTCAAAGCAAAAGTGTTCCCTTCTGAAAGTATTACTTCAAGCCATTAGGAAGCCTTAAACCACCTCTGATTTGTATCCTCAGAGAGTTAAGCGCATGTTGCACCCAAGACCCAGTAGAAAGCAGATAGGAAAAGGGCTGCAATGGGAGCAGGAAGATTGTTTATGCATAAAAGACACAACCACCACATTTGGAAGTGCTATGCATATGGCTCATACTAAATTAGGCCAAGAAGACAAATGAGACATTTTCCCACAGTTGAATAGAGACAAAAAAAGACCCAGAGAAGAGGGAAGTCATGACGTTAAAATCCAGGAAATCCAAATGTATAAAAGAGAAACTGGGCTTCCCTGGTGGCGTAGTGGTTGGGAGTCCGCCTGCCGATGCAGGGGACGCGGGTTCGTGCCCCGGTCCGGGAAGATCCCACACGCCGCGGAGCGGCTGGGCCCGTGAGCCATGGCCACTGAGCCTGTGCGTCCAGAGCCTGTGCTCCGCAACGGGAGAGGCCACAACAGTGAGAGGCCCGCGTACCGCAAAAGAAGAGAAACTTCCAGGATGAGAAAACAGCAGAGGCAGTGATTAAATCTGAATGGAAAGTTACTCTTCTTTTTACTTTTTACTTTGCTTTTCCTTCTAATATGCATGGAATGTGCTACTTATAAACCCAGAAAATCACAAATTACAAAAGGCACACAATTCAGCTATGAATATCTGTTTAGAGGTCCTATTTTCTTTGTCTTTCAGAAGAGAAAATCTTAAAGAGCTAAGGGGAGAATCCCAGGTTGAAGGTTGGAAATTATCCGATATGACTAGTTTTCAACCAAAGGTGAACATTTGCTGGAAGAGACATGTCTTCCTATGCTACTCATTTGCTTCCAGCTTTCCTCCACATCTGGAGAAGGTGGAACCAGTTCTGTTGACTGTGGCCCTCCTCCTGAGCAGGCTTTGACTCAGGCTATACATGACCTCCCTCATCTCATTGATTGGGGCTCCCAACCAGAGGGGATGCAACCTTGGGTTAATTCTAGACCCTCTCGCATAAGCATCTATGGCCTGGCGTCTGGGGCTGTGAGCTCTTGTGGCTAATGAGGAAATGGTAGGAGATTCGATGTGGGGATGAGTCTGTATGCAGTGGAAGCTCCAGACCTTTTATCCCAGGGAATATCTGGCTTCAATGGCTGGTCATCAGGTATTCAAGTCCCAGGATGAGGCCTCAATGCAACTCTCACAACTGGAGAAACAGCTTCAGTCACTGGCTCTGTCAATGTCGTGTAAGAAAGAAAGAGACCCTTACTGCATGACTGGTCCACAGTTTTCTCTTTTTTTAAAATTTATTTTAGTTATTTATTTTTGGCTGCGTTGGGTCTTCGTTGCTGTGCATGGCCTTCCTCTAGTTGCAGTGAGCAGGGGCTACTCTTCGTTGTGGTACGCGGTCTTCTCACTGCTGTAGCTTCTTTTGTTGCGGAGCACGGGCTCTAGGCGCGCAGGCTTCAGTAGTTGTAGCTTGCGGACTCTAGAGAGCAGGCTCAGTAGTTGTGGCACACAGGCTTAGGTGCTCTGCGGCATGTGGGATCTTCCCGGACCAGGGCTCGAACCCGTGTCCCCTGCATTGGCAGGCGGATTCACAACCACTGCGCCACCAGGGAAGTCCCACAGTTTTCTTTTAAGGAGAATTAATGGGACATTTGATTCTTTCGTGGCTACCAATGAAAATAGCATTGTACATGTAAGTACTCCCTTGCACCTCCTCAGTGAGCCTTCGCTCTGTGGCACGTTCCCCTGAAAGGAAGCAGAGGCATTGATATTTTATTTTATTTTTAAATTTTTATTTATTTATTTTTTGGCCGTGCTGCTCGGCATGCGGGATCTTAGCTCCCTGACCAGGGATTGAACCTGTGCCCTCTGCAGTGGAAGCACAGCATCCTAACCACTGGACCACCGGGGAATTCCTGAGGCATTGATATTTTAAAGTGAATAACATGGACTGTCTTTTTTTCTTTTTTGTACTTGGATATGAAATGAGTAAAATATGTGGTTCACAATTGATTAGAATTCCAGTCTTTTTCTTCAGTGTAAGCCTTAGGTGTATCTTAACAGGGTTGAAAATACCAGCATGTTGCAAATCCCGAAAGAGTCATTATTGTGCCTTCAGCCTTAATGATGATTTGGCCAGGTATAGAATTCTGTTCATAAGTGGTGAATGGATAACCAAACTGTGGTATCCAGCCATACAGAGAAATGAAGTATTGATACATGCTACATGCTGTTGGTTGAACCTTGAAAACACACTAAGTGAAAGAAGCCATTCATAAAGGACCATGTATTGTATGAGTCCATTTATTTGAAATGCAAGGCAAGTCTATGAAGACAGAAAGTAGGTTACTAGTTGCCTAAGGGTGAGGGTGGGGAACGATGGCTAAGGGTGTACATTATCTTTTTAGGATAATGAAATATTCTAAAATTGATTGTAGTGATAGGTGTGTAACTTTGTGAAAGTATTAAATTGAATTGTACTCTTAAATGGTTGAATTATGTGGTCTATGAATTGTATTTTAATATAGCTGTTAAAAAAGCAAAAAAGCAGTGCCAGGCAGTCACTCTTTTCTAGGCATGTGCTTATATTTAAGACTCTGCTTTTATCTCCTCTCTGTGGCTCTCAGATTCTTGGCTTCATCCTGGCTTTTGAAGCCTCACTTTTGTTGTCCTGTTTAGAATCTCCCCCCTTTCTTTTTCTTTTAAATTGAACCCAGCTTTTCACTTGACTCTCAGCTCTGCTTACTCTCTTAATTTTGGCGAATCTGCCAACCTTGGGTGAGAAACCCCTCTTCTTGTTCCAGCCCCCTCAATTCCACCCCCAGCGTCATCAGCGGGCTTACCCATAATCTTGCATGATAGATGGGGAATTCAGCAGAGACAGACTGTCAACTCTCTTCCTTAGTGGCTTTTTCTTGGACGGTCAAAGAAGCTAAGAGATTTGACCTCGCTACTACCACCCTCTGTGAGTACTGTGCTTTCCAAAGCAGCTTTCCCGCCCACAATTGTACTTGCTTTTCACATCAACCCTGTGAAGTAAATATGGTAAGCATTGTCGTTAGGGGAACCACTGACCGAAACTGCCCGCCCTGGCCAGACCCCATAGTAACCACTTGCATGAGTTATCTTATGACAGGAGGTCCCGGTAAGGAACGCAGAACTAACAAGCTACCACCAACTGGAAGAATTCGGAAAATGTCAAAAGGAGAGAGGAGATGCCAGTCCATATGTCCTACCAACCTCCCAGAATCCTTTTCGCTGGAATCCATCTTGGCTGAGCAATGCACGTGCCACCAGGAAGGACCCTGAGTCAGAACAACTGGGCAGAGACAACCCAGAAACTAACCCCATCACCATAAAACCTGAGACTGTGAGCCATGTGGCAGAGCAGTTCTCCTGGGCTCCCTTACCCTGCTTCTCTCTTCCCGGGCTCCCCTTCCCAATAAAGTCTCTTGCTTTGTCAGCATATGTGTTTCCTCAGACAATTCATTTCTGAGTGTTGGACAAGAGCCCGCTGCCCTGGAAGGGGTCCCCTTTCCTGCAATATTATCAGCCTTGTTTTACAGATGAGGAAACCAAGCTCAAAGAGCTAAACTGACTTGCTCCAAGTCACACATTGGATCACACACCTCAGATCTGATTGTTGCTTTATTATTCTTTCCACTGATGCAGGACTCCCCAAGATGAAATTCTTCCAGATGAATCCTTTACTCTAAATACATTTCTTCCCTTCGTCCTTTCATTCTTTGGGTCTTTGTTGGTGCGTGCGGGCTTTCTCTAGTTGCAGTGAGCTGGGGCTACTCTTCATTGCGGTGCCCCGGCTTCTCATTGCGGTGGCTTCTCTTGGTGCGGAGCACGGGCTCTAGGTGAGTGGGCCTCAGTAGTTGTGGCTCGTGGGCTCTAGAGCACAGGCTCAGTAGTTGTGGCGCATGGGCTTAGTTGCTCCGCGGCATGTGGGATCTTCCCTGACCAGGGATCAAACCCGTGTCCCCTGCATTGGCAGGCGGATTCTTAACCGCTGCGCCACCAGGGAAGTCCCACATTTGTTTCTTTGATTTCTGCTCTTCCGGCATATTTATGGAGCAACTACTATGTGTCAGACCCAGCAAGGTGCTGGAGATACAATTGAGAAAGATGGTCCCAGCGCTACAGACTGTCAGCAAAGGTCGACACGCCTAACCTCCTTATCTTTGCTCATATAGAATCTCCCAGCCCCTTGCCCACCATCCTCCACCATCCTCCACTACTACCTACACAGCTGGCATGACTTCTGTCTCCTCTCCACCAGGTCAATGACAATCCAACCTTGAACACTCCTCCTTAGGATAACACACTTTCCTGATAAATACACAATCTCTGGAGATCTTTCTCTGCTTTCCTTTGATGTTATATATAGGTTTTAAGTGAAGGTACCTATGAACAGAATGCCCCTCCCTCACTACTCTCAGATAAAGGGGAAATACATTACCCTCTGAGTCCAAAAGGACTCAGAACAGAGATGTGCAAATTGACCTTAAAAACACAGACTGCCTGCCAGTAGCCAGACTGCAGATAACTTGATCAAATGTACTAAATTCTTTAAAGAAAGAAAGCTCCATTAGGAGGGGGTTGGTTAGCCATGGAGATTAGAGAAAGGACAGTCCCTAAAGCAACTGTTACTGGTGCCCACTCAAACACCATCCAGGGAAGGGAGTGCCTAGCCAGTGTGCAGGATCAAGAATAACCGTTGTAGAGCTGGTCCAATGGGTCACTCAAATCTGCTGAGACCAAGCCCTCAAATCCCATCCCTTGTTCTGAAGCCATGCTGACCAGATAACCGCCAGCTACACTGACTTCTCTTGCCTCTGGGGAAAAACGGGCTGCTTGAGCTAACATGCACATCTGGTCCACCATAGAGTTCTATTTCTCACTGGAAATTACTAAATAAACATGTACATCAGCCTCTGTGAACATGAGTCAGACTTCAGTCAAACCTGTGATCCTCCCAAGACTGAGTGTCTGACCCACCGAGGCTTAGGGCAAGACCTTGGACCACTGTAAATCACCAAGGAAAATGGCACCCTATGGGGCTGAGTGACACACCCACTTCCTCCAAACCCTTAAACCTAACAGCAAATGCTGGTTGGTTGATGCACTGTCCTAGGAGGAAGACTTGGAGAAAAATCAGGATTTACCCTTGCCTGCCAGAGGCTTAAGCACCTCTGTAATTTTATTTATTTTTTATCTTTTAAAAAAATTATTTACTTTATTTTATTTATATTTGGCTGCATTGGGTCTTTGTTGCTGCGCACGGGCTTTCTCTAGTTGCGGCGAGCAGGGTCTGCTCTTTGTTGCGGTGCACAGTCTTCTCATTGTGGTGGCTTCTCTTGTTGCGGAGCATGGGCTCTAGGAGCGTGGGCTTCAGTAGTTGTGGCACGTAGGCTCAATAGTTGTGGCGCGTGGGCTTTTTTGCTCTGCGGCACGTGGGATCTTCCTGGACCAGGGATTGAACCCATGTCCCCTACATTGGCAGGTGCCACCAGGGAAGTCCCAAAGCACCTCTGTAATTTTTCCGTAAAACTAAATGATCAAGGCTATGACATTTCACAAGGGAAACCTGGGAAGGTCTATTATTTGAACAAACATATTTAGTCACCATCGTATTTGGTGGGAAATATCTTTACTCAGTATTTGTTGTTATTTTCAAAAGCCAGCCTTCCTGAATTCATTTTAAATCTCCAACTTCTGAAACTTCATTAAGAGTCCATCTGCAGAAGTGGACTGTCCACGGAAGTCCCTGTTTCATTGTCATACGGCTCAACTGTGCAGGGGTAGGATAAAGTTGTTTTTTTTTTGTTTGTTTGTTTTTTTTTTTTTTTCTTGCGTTATGCGGGCCTCTCACTGTTGTGGCCTCTCCCATTTGCGGAGCACAGGCCCCGGACGCGCAGGCTCAGCGGCCATGGCTCACGGGCCCAGCCGCTCCGCGGCATGTGGGACCTTCCCGAAACGGGGCACGAACCCGCGTCTCCTGCATCGGCAGGCGGACTCTCAAGCACTGCGCCACCAGGGAAGCCCAAGTTGTTTTTTTTTTATGTGAGGGTTTTTGTGACGATTTATCTAAATTTTATTACTTATGTGACCTTGTGTGTTTTGTAGAAGTTCATTTAAACTGTGAAGCCTCATTTACTGGAAGAAGAAATATCTATGTGAGCCCATGGAGACTGCCATAGGTCACCTTGAACAATAAAATGGCCTTCTGGGGACAGAGCTCTATGCAGGTGAAGAAAGGTATATACTTGTGGCTAGAGGTTAATGATAACTAATGAGTTACTTACATTAAGGTCTCTTCTCATTTAAGAAAGAAGAATCATATTTGGTAATGCAATCATACAGGGGTATCTGTTTTCAGGCACAAAACTGGAAAGAACTGTGAAGATTAAAGGAAACTTTAGAATTTTCTACACTAGGTACTATGTTCTAAGAGGGAAAAAATAGTATCAGGTTGAGAAAATTAGCTTAATTCTGTTATCCAGACTGTGTTCACTGGTTCGCTTCCTTCCATTTGTTGACTAATTGAATATAAATCCCATTAAAGAGCACTGGATTCATTTTTCATTTGAGTGAAAGGAGCTCAATTTCCTACCAGAACTGGCTGCAGAGAATAGCTAATACACCGCTCAACATGCTCAAAATTTGCAGTTGAAATCCCAGGGGATACCAAGTCTCAGGTGAGAGGTGCACGTGTGCACATGCACACATATGTATGTGCACACACACAAACACACTCACGCACAATGAGTTAAAATTTTAAGTATTTTGATTATGAAATAACTTAGTTGTTAGGCCTTTGCTATTTTCTTACTGTGAATTACAAACCCTCTGAACAGGAAAGTCTAATTTCAGAGCTTCCCTCTTTCTTCCTAGCAAGTGGCT